CGATGACGATGCAACCCATGTGGCACTTTACAGTACAGTTTCAGAATGAAGGGTCTGAGGGCCAGGCTCAGGGAGGCGGGGGCTGGGCTAACACTTCAGCTCCTATGATGGCAGAATTTACAACCCCAGACACTGCGGCCCACCTCCCGGGAGCTGGGTTCCCAGGCCCCTCCCGCTGTCCCCAGGCTCTCCCCACCCAGAGCACCAGCCCCCGGTAGGGCTTCTGCTTCCAGGCCCATTTCCGGCCCAGACCTTCCCACCTGCTGTGGCTTCAGCGCTGGGTCCAAGCCCAGCAAGCCCCTCTCATTTTAGTTCTTGGTTGTAAAGCATACACTTTTGTTTTCAAGCAAACCTCTGGAGAAGTGTGTGAAGTGAAACTCAAAAGCCATCTCCCCCGGGTTCCCCTTCCCCTCTGAAGTTCCTCACACAGTCTGCCACGTGGCCCTGCTCCTAGGCTGGCGCCGCCTCTTCTACCTTTCTTGTCTTTTCGTTGAGGATGGAGCCCAGCGCTCACACGCGCTCTACCACTGAGCGGAGCCTCCCACCCATCTCGCATCATTTTTAAGGAAACACTACCTTCGCTCCATAGGTCCATCACCGTTTGGAAGCACTTGAGCTGCCAGGCTTTTTGGCATTATGAGCAGCACTGGTGTTGACACCCTCGCATGTCTGTCTGTCTGTCTGTCTGTCTGTCTGTCTGTCTGTCTGTCTCCCCCCCTTCCTCTCCCTCTCTCTCTAATGTCTGTCTCACTGTGAGTTCAAGCTGGCTTTGAACTATGGTTCAGGCTCAACTTGTCCATTTCCCCAGATCTGACCAGCAGGAAAAGATGGAGGTTTTTCATGTTGCCTGCCCCAAAGTCTCTCAGGACAACTAGCTTGTGTCCAGGTAGCGGAACAGGCCCGCCATTGATAGCTTGGCAGGGGCGGATCCAGGGGAGTTTCTCTGGGACTGGGACACCCCACGCCACTTCCTCCCATCCTAGAGCTTGAATCAGGCCTTCCCTGTCCCACCCAGCCCTACGTGGCAGAGGGGGAGGCTGCCTTCCGGCCGGTGGGTCGGACGTTGCAGAAAGGAAGTTTCTTCCTCAATTGTTCTGTGCGGAGCTCCAGGCACAGGCCCCAGCTCCAGGAAGCAGCCTCGTGCTCAGCAGGGACATTCCTCTGGGGCCTGTCCCCACAGCCCAGAGACTAAGCACAAGTGGGGGGGGAGGCTTCAGGCTCCATCCTAAATGGGGGCCTCCCCAGGTCTGGGGCACCCTCTGCAGCTTGGAAGGGGAGCCCAAAGCAGCTGTGCCTACCCCAGCCCAGCCTCCCTCCTCGCCACTCCTCAAGGCCTCACTGCACAAGGCTCTCCTGCCACAAACGAAGGCGGAAAACCAGAGGAAGGAGGAGGTAGCAACCCCACCGGCATGCACGGAGAGGACAGAGGCTTTTTTGCCAGCTGTGGCGGCGCACTGTGGAACAACAATCCGTCACCAGTACTCATGGTTGGGGAGTACAGTCCTGAGGGGTGCTCAGTAAGCACCCTGGCTCATGCGCTCACTGAGCCTCCACAGCCTGCGCAGGAGGAGGTGCTGGCCTTCATATTTCACAGGCGGGGACTGCAAGGTTCCCGGTTAAAGGACTGGCTCCGTGGCCTGGATCGGGATCCACCCTGCGCACGCAGGCACAGGGAGGAGGCAGCACTGTCAACCCAGAGAAACCCCTACTTTCATTTGTTGAGACAGGATCTTGCTCTGCAGCCCAGGCCGGCCTCGAACTTGCTGAGATTTTCCTGCCTTGGCCTCCAGTGTGCTGGTGTCAAAGGAGCACACCACCAGACTGGCCTGGCAAACCAGAAAGCCCCTTTCTCTTCAAGCTGTCCCCCTCCTGCCTAAGTCTGCCCACTGACCAAACACCAAACCTTGTCTCTCTCAGCCATGGCTGAGGCTCCGGGTCAGGTCCCCTGGGAGCTCCACTGCAGGGCAAACTAGGGACAACTCCAAGTGTCTCCCACACAGGGGAGAAACTGTGACTTGTCGCTTAGAAGGCTCTGTGCCAGCCGACAGGTGGCAGCTGGGGAATCGCGGGGGGCGGCTGTGGAGGCAGGTGTCTCCAACAGTTTGGAGGGGGCTGGCTTCGAGAGCCAAGTGGGTTGGTCCCGGAACCACATAGAACCTTCGTGAGCTGACACAGAGATGCCGTCTTCCACTCTCCCCTGAGGCCCGGGTCCAGGCATCCACGGGGTGCTAGTTTTTGCCTTTGATTCCATTTCAAATATTTCAAACCCAGAATGTCATTGTGAAAAAGTTCTCCTTCCAGCTTAGAGATTAATTTCAAGCAGGGATAACATTTGGGGGCATTATGGATCTCAGCTAAGCATTTGGAATTAATATTTTGAGTCCCAGCTTGCCTGTGGAGAGCAGCAACGCTAACCCAGCCAAGGCCACCTGCCTGTCCCCTGCCCAGGCCACTGGAGCCCAGTGCCGGGTTGCTCGTGCATGATTCAAACTGTCTGGGCTGAGTCCGGAGGTTCTCAGCCAGGGTGATTTGTTTTTATCCCTCCCAGGGGACATCAGGCGTGGGTGGGGGTGGGGAGTATCCACGGTTGTCACAACTTTGGGGGTATCCAGTGGGTAGAGGCTAGGGTTGCTGTTAGTGTCCCTGCCACCCCTAAGGGTCCACAGTATGAAGACACAGGCCCAAGGCTGGCAAAGGGTCCTGGTCTTCCCCCCCTCCCACCAACTCTCTCACACCATGCTTGCCGGGGCTTAAAAACTTGCAAACAGCAATTGTTACAAAAGAGCAAGCCAGCAGGTAGGTGTGGGAAAGTTCTCTTAAAGTCCAGCTGAAACCAGCTCTTTGGGCTCAGGAAGAAGTCAGTCCTCAGGCTGTGTCCTGGCTTTTGTCTTCCCTCTGTCCCCCCAGGGCACAGGGTGGACAAAGGCTTGGAGGAACAGGGCTGTTGGGAAGGTTCTATCCTGAGTAATCAGCCCCTGAGGGCTGGGCTTGGCTGCATTTCCTCCAAGGAGGGTCTCCTGGGCCTGTCCCTTGACTGCGTCCTGAGCTGTCCCCTCCACCCTCTCCCCGCAGCTGGTCAAGCCACCCACCCTGGCCTTGCAGCCAGCACCCAAGGAGAAAGTGCTGAAAGACAGCCCCAGAGAGAGGACAGAGAAATTCCAGGGCTGCTGGAAACCAGGGAGCGGCTGGGACTTCAGCCGCCCCAGCCACCAAAACCATCTCTGACTGGGACTATTTTTAGATAGTTAAAAGTTAGGGATGGGGCCCTAATGAAAAAGGAGGACCTGGAGGAGAGAGCCACCTCAGGGAGCAGCTGACACCTGTCCTCATTCTGCTGTTTCAGTCCAGATCCTCGGGCCCAAAAGCCCATCGCTCCATGCTGCCCACTAGAACCCCAGTGAGGATCGCAGCAATGTCGGGGGCAGCAGCCCTCTGTACAAAGGGTTCTATGAGGTGGGCCCAGCGTGGCCCCAAGGCCACGGTCATCTGAGTAACTCTCTGAGAGCCATAGAGAAGGGGCTAAATGAGCTCGAGTTTATAGACTAGGAAATAGGCCCCGAGCAGCTAAGAAGCTGGCAGGGGGTCACATCCCAGCCAGTGGCACAGCCTGGCCTCTCCCCCTCAGGCCTGCATGACCACAGAGTCTGAGAACTCATTGAATAAGGAACCAAGGCGCTGGTACAAGAAGGCCCGGGTTACCCCAGGCGCCTGACTCACAGGCCTCTGGTCACAAATCAGGGAAGAAAACAGGCTCAGCCAGATACTCCCAAGAAAACCTTAAGCTTCTCCACTATAGTGCCAGCGCCTTTCAAAGCTGGGAAAGGCCTCCAGGTGGAAGGGTCTTAGGAAAGGTCCTCCCCAAACGTGTTCCCTCCCTGGGGTGGAAATTCAGCCCCAAGCCCCAGCTGCAGGACGACAGGGACTGGCAGGGGCCACCAGCTGTCTCCAGGCGGTACAGGGTCTCTGGAGTGATCACAGAGACAGCTAGCTGAGTTAGCTGTCCCCTAGGACTTCAGAGTCACTAAATGGCGACGGCATGTGCTCCTGTCGAGCCACCCTTGCACCCCCAGGTGGCCCAGGGCTTTGCCTGAACACTGATAATTTCCAATTCTCTGGAAGCCTCTCCGTCAGCAAAGCCAGGAAGTGATGCGGCACAGAGTGTGGGACAGTGTCCAGGGCCAGCCACTGGGGTCAAACAAGAGGCCACGCGGCTCTTGGAGACCTTCTGTTCCCCTCCCCAGTTCCAGGGAAGCTGTCCGAGTCAGGTCGCCATCCTGGTTCTTTCCACATTGAGAGTGGCCTTCCCTGGGGTCAGGGATCATGCCAAAGCTAGAACCCAGAGTCCCGGGGTCACCACTCTGTCACCCAAGAATTTCTCAGAGACAGGGTTGCAGGGAAGCAGCCAACAAGCTCCTCTTAACTGTTCCTAGCTGGGGGCCCTACGAGACTAATGCCAGTCTCTAACAGCATCACTTGCTCAAAGCAGCCTTCTGTAGGGGAGACACTGTTGTGCACTGCCAATCAACGCAACTTTGCAAAACTAACCACCCTGCTGGACACAATGTCCTGTGCAACTGGCTGGCAGGCAAAGTATTCCCCCCAGGGCAGGAGAGACAAATCCCAGAGCACCCAGCTCCAGGCTGCAGAAGGCCCCACATATCTGCCCCGTGGGTTCCTGTGGGGCGAGAGCCCGAGGGGCAGAGCTGTATGAGGCCTTTCTGGTGACCTTGATGGCCCTGACACTCTCCAGGCGGAAGGTATACTTGCTTTTCTAGACTCCCAGGAAGGAATGGCTCACGACTGTCCCCGGGGTCTGGCAAGGGACCCAGATGCCTGAGACAGTGGCCTGGGAGGCCTTGGGGCAGTGACTCCAGACTGGAACAACAAGGTAACCCCCTGGGGAGTCACCTGCCCAAGGAGGGTGCAGACAGCCCAGCTCCACCACCCTTACACTCCACCCATCACCTTGAGGTCCCAGCCTGGGCTCTCAGGGTACTCACATGCCCTGCTCCCCATACTGGTTGTAGAACTCCATGTGGCTGCAGGCCTGGATCCAGCCCACGATCCAGGTCTCCTTCTTGGGGATGGGCGGCATGACCACTTGGGCAGAGGCCCGGAAGTGAGGCGTCCGGTAGCGGAGCACCACGCTGGAGGACTCATCAATGCTGGTGGGGACCGGGTCGATGGAGGCCTTCACGTCGATCACCGTAATCCCTTCTCGGAAGACTCTGGCTTTGCCCCCAATGCTCTGGATGCAGCCCATGGCACACAGCACCGCCCGGATCTCTAGGGAAGGCCAGCAATCCCAGCAGAAACCGGGCATTGAAAGGGTGGAGGCTGCGCGGCCCAGTGCGGAGGGACGGGCTAGCCGATCTCACAGCGCAGGACGGGTATCCATAGGATAGAGAACAGCTCAGCGAGCCCGGAGTGCTGCTTAGCACGACCGCGAGCCTGTTATAAATAAGGATTTTGCGGCATCGCAAGAGCCCTGGGCTCCCTTGCTCTTCTCTTAGCAGTGGACAAAAATCACCAATATTCTTTGAGTTAAAAAAAGAAAAGTTCCGAATTTAATGGACCAGCATGTTGTTCGGTGTCTCAGTCTCAGGGACGGCTGCTCTGGTCACCTGCCGAAGTCTTCGGGAAAGCAGCGAGGCAGGCGCAGTCCCCGTGGTCGGTGGCGCTGCTACCCTCGCCGCAGACGCCCGGCTTCCTCCCCTCCGCTTTCCGCACGCGCTGCCCGAGCACCCGCGCCGACCCGGTGGGGCGCCCAATCGGCGGGAGCACAGTTTCCTTCCGCGAGGCCGAGGTCCCACTCGCGGGCGCGGGCCGGGCACCCCCACGCGGGCGCGCCGCGGGTCCCTCGCCGCGATCGCTGTCTCCGCCCGCCGCGGTGCGGGGCTCCGGGGCTGTGCGCGAAGCGAACCTGAGGGGAGGCGGAAGGGACAGCGCGTCAAAGTTGAGCCCAAGTTTGCCGCGGGGGCAATGGGGGGGCGGCACGTGTGCACTGTCTGCGGGGCGGGCGGCGCCGGCTGGGCGGTCTCCCCGGAGGCGGGGTCCCCACCCCCGTGCCCGCCCGCCCCGTCAGTGGCGGCCGCGCCACCGCACTCACCAGCGAATAATCGCGGCCGGTGACACCGCCGCTGACCCCTCCGCCCGGGGTGCACTGCAGGGGACCGCGCGCCCTTGGCCGCCAGGTGGGTCCCCTGGCGCCCTGGGGGCGCACTCTGCCTTCCAAGGCCCGTCCGAGTGGCACGAGCCCCTTTGCGCGTCGGGGTCGCCCAACCCAGGACTGCGTGGCGCCGCGGTCCCCTCGCCAGCCCCCAGCGGACCCCGGCCCCGCGCGTCCCAACAGCTCGGCGGCCGGGAACTTTGCGCGCGAGCTCCGAACCAGGCGCCGCCACTCACCTGCCCCGCGGCCGCTCCGCGCTCCCGGCCGCGCCCTCCGGACGCCCCGACCCTCCCCCTGACAGTGTCCTGGGGCTGTCTTTACTGGGGTCAAGGAGGCTCGGGGCTACTGGGGGAGGCCGGGGACGGAGGCTGAAGCTCGGGGTTCTGTCGCCCCGACCCCGCGCGCCTCCTTTATTTTACGATCATGGTGAGCGTGCTGTCGCCGCTCAGCCCCGCGCCGCGCCGCAGAAGCCTTGCGCGCCCCGCGCCGCCCCGCTCCGCTGCGGCATCAGAAAGGCAACCGGGTCAAACTTTGCCGAAACTCGGCCCTTGCGCTGGCCCAGCACTCGCGCCCGCCCGCAGCCGTCCCCCAAGTGCAGCCGGCCACGCAGGACCGTGCGCCCCGCCGGGAGAGATGCAGGACCGCAGGCGGCGGCGGCGGCGGGCGGGCGAGCGCCGCCTCCTGCTCCCCGCCCTCGCTGGCTCCCGCACCCCCTGCGCCCTCCCCCCAGCCCCCCTCCTCCCTCCCTCTCTGCAGCTGCTGGGGGAGCTCAGGCTCTCAGAGCAAAAACGACATTTCCTTTCCGAGTAGCCCCGGGAATTCTGGGTAGTGTAGTTCCATCAATGTCGGGTCCAGGGGGGCTGCTCCCCGTGCCCTTTGACCTTCTCAGGCCAGGGACTTTCCTAGGTTCCGGGCCCTGGGAGGATCCTGGCCGCGGGGGATGGGGTGGGGCAAGGACGTTCTGGAACGTTCCAGGGCTGGTAAGGTTGGGATGATGTTGGAGAGAAGTTTGGGGGGACATAGTCTTGGAGACGCCCCGGGGGAGATGCTTATGAAAGGCTCATCATTTCATCCACCATCAGCCACAGGGGAGGGAGACCTGAGTGCTGTCATTTCGCAGAAGAGGAATCCAGAGCTGGCAGGCGTCATGGGGAGGGGACCCTAGTACCTGAGTGCAGAGTCAGAGGGGCTTTGTGTTTGGTCAGTAGTGGGAGGGCAATGGAACTTTGGAACCAGCCTCCTGCCAGTAGTGGCCCCCAAAAGGTCAAGAGATCTGTGACATCAGAAACCCATCAGACCCATACCCTCCCCCACATCCACCAGAGGGGTGGCCAGTCCTGGGCCAGTCTCATGGCAACAGTGGCTCAGCCGCAGCCCAGGAAGGGGCCAGCCATACTGCACCCTGACCGTGGTCATCAGACCTGTCCCCCTCTGGGTCATCTTTTACCCATTCTGCTGGTGGTGGCTTGTTCCCAGTCCTTGGACCCAGCCCAAGATGGTCAGGTACTGAACCAATGGCACAGGCATGGCCCCTGTGGACCATGTGCTGTCCCATGCAGCTGGCTCCTGGATCCCTTTGTACACCTCCATCACTGGGAAGCAGTCTCTCTGGCCTGCCCACCTACAGTGACTGCTCCCTGACACAAGCTCATGGATCCCACAAAACATCCCACCCTCTTACCCTCCCTTCAGCCCTCGGATCATAATTGTATGCAAGAAAGATATCTACTTCCTGGGGGTGTGTCTCATTTCCTGTCCCCCATCATCCCAAGTGCCTACAAAGGAACAGGGCCCAGCGGCCAGGTTAGTCCTTGGTGGGGATGTGGAGATGTCCCCAGTTTAAGGGTGTCCTGAGCACATGTGCCAAGTTGGGTGGCTCCTGTGGAACGACGGAGGTCATGGCCCCAAGAACCTCATGAAGCAGTAGAGTCCCAAAGGTGATTTTGGAGGGTTGGGTTGCCCTCATGACCAACTGGCCATGGCAGGACCCCTTGTCCTTGGGTCCTGGGTTAGTGATGGTAGAGCTAAAACCCTGATCAAGACAGTGTTTGCCCTTGACCTTGACCTTGGACAGTCAGTCAGAGAAACTCAGGATCAGAAGACACTGACTTCTCAAGAGTCTGCACCCCAAGCCAGATCTGTCTGGCCCCAAAGCCCATACTTGGCTCCCCATGGGCCTCGCTGCCCTTGGCTACTGCACGCTAGGATGGCCTGATCACCAGAAAGCCCCACTCCAAGGGTGAGGACTTGCACAGAGAAGGCCCTGCCCTGCCGCTGCACCTGCACCCCGGCCCAGGACTCTGCTCTGGCTTGCAAGGAGTCCCAGCTCAGAGTCCCCAGCTGGCCAGTTCCAGTCAGATCTCCCTGGTCACTGCCATTCCTCTGGGCAGTCTGGCTGTGAGCCCCAGCAGCTGGGCCATTCCAGGGCAGAGCCAAAAATGCAGAGACCACCAAGGATAGAGCCCAGGTTCCTTGTCCCCCTCAGACCAACCTGCACTCCGGGTCACAGCAGGTCCTCCAAAGTCTCACCCCCTCCAAAGAGGGGGTCACTATATGGCCTGAAAACCATCTTGGACGAGAGAAGTCTTCACTCTGCAGACAGAAATGTTAAATGTTGGAATTCTGTTGCCCCAGGAAACAAGGTTCTGTCCCCCAATTATTTGGGCCCAGAGAGAAAGCCAATGGCAAGGCCTGGAATGTCTACCTGGGTGGGTGTGGCCATGGAGAGTGCAGAAGGCTGAGGGGAGAGCCAGGTGCAGGGCCTCAGTGTCTCCCCCGAGGGGGCCTCACTGCTGCAGGGAAAGGGACTAACTGGGTGGCAGATGGGTGGGTCTCAATAGGTTGCCTTTAGATGGGGACAGAGGCCAGCAGAGTCGTGGGGGGAGCTCTGAAGCTAGATCTCAAGTTGCCTGGTCCCCAGCTCAAAGATGTTTCTCCCCTCTGAGGGACACTGGCACAGCCTGGGGGAACAGCAGGATGCTCTCCAGGGTTGCTGGGCTCAGGCCTTGGCCCCCTTCTGTCACCCTTGAGGTCATTCTCCTGCACCACTGATGGGACACCTGGGCTGGACCAGCCACTCTGAGAATCAGGGACCTCAGCCCCACCAGACAGGCCATAGCTCTGACCGTCCTGTGGGCAGAGGGACGGAAGTCACTCCAGGAAGATGAGACTTCACATAAACAATTGGTGTGGAAAGATCGCTGCAGGTAGCCAACAGGCAATAGCGTGGCTCAAGTCAGGAAGGGATGTCCAGATGGAGGTGGGGTGCAGGGAAGGGTCCCGGGCCAGGGGGTGAGCTGAGGCACATGTGGAGTGCATGAGGGGCTGGGGTGTGTATCACAGTGAGTTTCACCTCTTGGAGGAAGGTGGAGCTGTGTGTAACTGTGTGGTGTGCATGTCCGTGTGAGTGTGGGTGAGGTGTGTAACGGTGTGAGCTTACACAGGCAGTGTGGGTGTGGAGCACTGTTGTGATATTGCTCGGGAGGGTACGTGAGAATGGGGGATGAGGTGTCTCCGTGTGTCCTGGTTGTATGTCTGCATGTGGGTGATGGTGTGACTGCTGCTGTGGGTGCATGGGTGTGTCCTTGTTGCAAGTGTGGGGCTCTGGAGTGCAGCAGGCTGCACCAAGGCCCCCCAAAGGCAGGGAGGGTCTGAGGGCTGGTCTGCCGTCGCCTGCCAGCCAGTGTGGGCTGGCCAGGCCACCTTGGATGGTGCAGGGGCTGCGTCCTGTCGGTGCCCGAGCCCTGTCTCTCCCGGGGTGAGGATCCGCATGCAGTCACCTCGGGGAGCTCGGAGGACCGAGGGGGCGACAGCAGGCTGGGCGCCCGCAGGCTGGGCGCAGGCTGGGTGCAGCCAGGATCGGGTGCGGCACTGGGAGTTCTCCAAGGTGCTAAAATAAACCCAGCGAGGGATCAGGTTTCCCGACCAAAATAACCCAGAAGCGGCCTTCAAAAAGCAACCGAGAAAGCGATAGGGACGCGGGAGCCAGGGCGCAAGGCTGGGAGGAAAAGCGCCTTCCATGGGGTTTGCTGCGGTCCTGTCAGGACCCTGCGCTGCCCTCCCGGCCCCGCCCAGCACCCCCTTCGCCCCGCCCAGCACCCTCCTCCGCCTCCCCCACCTCTCCCCCGCACCCACCCCCTCTCTACTAAGTCTTTATCCCAAATAACAGCCCCAAGTGTTCCTCGGCATCTGGGGGCGTTTATTCACTGGTACTGGGCTCTTTCTGTGGGCCCAGACCTTGCCTGGACCTGCCCCCCTGGCCAGGGCCTTCACTGTGGTTATTAAGAGCCATGAAATCTTCAAGGCTGGTGGAGTGTTAGAGTGACCCAGACCACAGAAAGGCAAAATCCATCAGGGTGTCCACGGGGAGAGGGCAGGAATGATGTTGAAATCCAGAGGTCCCTGCTGGCTCACGAAGCCTTGGTTTTCCTACTGGCCCCACAGGGACAAATCTGTCTGTGACCCCAGTAGTCACCTGACAAGGCCTCAAGTATCGAGGGATGTGGCCAGGGGACTGCTCACCCGTTCAGGCAGAGGCCAGCTGTGCGGCCTCAGTGTCACCTCTCTGCCGCAGGCTGGCTGCCTGGACTTGGCTGGACCCTGGAACTCTCCAGGGTCCCTTCCTACTTCCCTGAGTCTGGTTTCACAGCAGGCAGCTGGGTGACCCACGCACGGGGAGGCCCACTGTCTCATTTGCCACTTTTCACTGGGCCACTTGTTTCTACTCTGCCCTGCTGCCCCATAGGGCCCCACCACGGTGTCTAAGCACACTCATCCTGCAATAGTGTCAAACACAGTTGTCACAGACAGAGCCTGGGCGCCCAGCCACAGAGGAAGGGTCGGAAGACGCGTTGCCCATTCCCAGAGCCAGGAAGCAGGAAGTCACTGAAGAACGATGGGGCTGTCACAGAAGCAGGGCCAAGCTTGCTGTTAGGTAAAAAGGGTTATATATTTCTAAGGGCCGTATAATGTAGCAGGCCTGGTGACACCTTCTGTTAACTGTCCTGGTTTCCAGGTGATGGGATTGCACCTTTATTACCTGTATGTATCGAATTTCTTACAGTAAGCAGTAACTTTGTATGGAGACGTTGCCCCACTGTACAGTCCACGCTGGCCTCAGACCCACAGGGATCCCGCGGCCCCGCCTCCTGAGCGCTGGCATTGCAGGTGTGCACCCCCACAGCCAGCGGCAGTAACACTGTGCTAGTAAGGAGAAATAAGAAGGGTGGCTAAGCGGATACTGCTTGGTAAACGAGCTAGTTACTCCAGAGAAGTATATCCTATCTCCCCAACTAGCCTGTGAGAAAAGATCAATGAAAGGTTATTTTCTTAGTTTATGTGTTTGGCACAGAGTCTCACTACGCAGCTCAGACTCCTGGTGATCCTCCTGCTTTCAGCCTCCCCAGAGCTGGGATTACAGGTGTGCACCACTATGCCCAGACTCTGGGCAGGGCTGGTGCAGCATGTGGTGCCAGGGATCGAACTGTGGTCCCTATGCTTCCCTAGGCAGGCACTTAGTCTGCTGGGCTATCTCATTGGCCCAGTGATCCTCCTGTTTTCAGCCTCCCCACCACTGGAATTACAGGCCTGAGCCACCACGCCTGGTCTCAGTGGCTGGCTCATTGCACCTGGGGCCAGGGCCAGCATGACATCTGGTAACAGAATCAAACCCTGGTCCCTGCCCTTGCCTAAGCAGGCACTTAGTCCACTGAGCTATCTTGCTGGCCCTGAAATTATTGATCAGATGAATGCATGAAGCTGAAGACCTTAAGCAGGGTTGTGCCCCTTGGTGGTACTTGTGGAGGGTAGAGATGAAGAGCTGTCCTCATGTCCCAGCTTCCTTCGAAGGTAACCAGGGTCATTCCAGCAACAGCAGTCCCAGGTCACAGGGGAATATGTGTAGACTTTACATGATCCTCCCACCAGTTGTCAAAGGGGACACAGAGGCCAGGCACAATGGAACACTTCCTCTAATCTTTCCCAGAGCCCACGTCTTCCACCCCTGGCCTGGGGCTGAAGCAGCCCAGGGACCTCCCAGATCTGGCTAAACAGAGACGCTGACCCAGTCCTCTCGGTGTTAATAGTCCCATCCAGGCAGGGCTCCTCGCCCACAAGGCCAGCCAGGGTCGTGGGCTGTGCCCAGGGGCAGTGATGTGAGACCAGCAAGCACCCAGGCCCCATGACCTGAGGGTGCTGAGGCCAAGTCCTGCCTGTGTCCACCTTGGTGACCATGTAGGACTGGGCTCTCTGTTCTCTCTGGCTTCCCGGCTGCACCTGTCACCCCTCCGAGGCTCAGTTTCCTCATCTACAGAGTGAAGGTGTCACATGGGCTCCTTAGCATGCGTCACAGTGTGCACACGGCCACTGCCACCCTCAGGAAGCAGTACGCAGTGCCGTTGGGGGATGGCCCTCAGTGGCTGCTCAGCTGGGTAGAAGAAGAGGAGGAGGAATGGGGCGTCCCTCACCTACCCTGCAAGGGATACAAGGAACCCCACTGCCTGGACTCTAGCTTCGCCCTGCCAGGGATATAGACCATGACCCTGTGCCTCCGTTTCTCTACCTGTAACATGGACATCACAGTGCCCACCTCTGAGGGGCACAAGGCTTAAGGAGATGATGTTTGTAAAATGCCAAGCAAGGTCCAGGCAGTCTCAGGTCCTTCAGTCCATGAGGTAGGCTTAGAGTAACCCTAGAAGGTCACCTAGGTAGCTACAGGGAGGCTGTCTGGAGCCCCAGAGCCACAGCGGCAGGATCCCCTCTGCTTGCCCTCCCATTCCCCTGAACCCGTGCACCTGGCAGGAGGGTCGCAGAACTTCCTGTGGGGCAGCCCCCTGCCTGGGCCTGCTGCTCCTTCCAGCCACACGCCCCCCGCCACAGCTCCCAGACCCGACATCCTGCAGCACAGGTGTAATCATTAATGCGACACTTGTATGGCCCCTGAACTATGAGCTTCCAGGGGCAAAGGATGGGGCTCATTCCACTGTCTGCAGCCTGCTGAGCTCCGGCACAGTGCCAGGCGCCCTGGAACTATTTCTGGGTTGCCCGAATCTGCTGTGGTGCTTCTGCCCTTTGCAAAACTCAGAGAATGCTGGAACCAGATCCATTACCATCCAATTAATTATGCCCTGTCACAGAGATCAAATTCACAGACTGCCGTTCAATTGGACTGCGATGCACTACCCCAAATTCAAGACAAATTTAAAAAGAAAGCAAGCCCAGCCTGCCAGCTTAATGAAAAGCTGTCACAGACAGAAGAGCTGGCCTGGCCCCAGGGACCAGAATATGATGCTCTTGGTGACGTCATGAACTCCATCCGGCAGGTGCCCAGAGAGGCCTGGGAGGGCCCCGCACTCCCAGGGCTACAGCCCTACTGGCCCGCACTGCCTGGAAGGAGGGCAGCAGGCTGGGCTCCCAGGGGGATGGGGGTTGGCAGTTGGCAAAAGTGAGGTCAACCCAGGGCACATCTCCACCTCTGCTAGAGGCAAAGCCTCAGCAGAGGCCAGAGCAGCAGAACTACATTTCCCAGAGTGCTCTGGTGCCCAGGGGCAGCCATTGGCAGATTTAAATAGCCCAGGCCCAGGCAGCCCGGAGGCCACGGACTAGTCCACCGCCCCGTGGGTGCATTGGCGCCGGCCTGATGGGTGGGCTCCATTGGCTGCTCAGCTGCCACTGACTGACGTCCGCGCGGAGCCGGGTGACAGCGGAGGTAAACAGCCATGAGCAGCCCTCTTGTCTATATTTAACAGCTGCTGCGGGGAAGACAGGGAGGCAGGCAACTGTGGCAGCTCGGGCGGTACTTGTCTTGGGGGACAAGGCCCTCGGAGCCAGGCTGGCACGGACCTTCTCGGGGTGATCAGGCAGGGAGGGACAGCATGCCAGCTTCCCAGAGCCGGGCCCGCGCCCGGGACCGCAACAACGTCCTCAACAGGGCCGAGTTCCTGTCCCTGAGCCAACCCCCTAAGGGGACCCCGGAGCCCCGCAGCTCGGCCAGGAAGGCCTCCGGGCCCTCGGCACAGCCCCCACCCGCCAGCGAGGGGCCCCGCGAGCGACGCCAGTCCCAGCAGCTTCCTGAGGAGGACTGCATGCAGCTGAACCCCTCGTTCAAGGGCATTGCCTTCAGCTCCCTGCTGGCCATCGACATCTGCATGTCCAAGCGGCTGGGGGTGTGCGCCGGGCGCGCGGCGTCCTGGGCCAGCGCCCGCTCTATGGTCAAGCTCATCGGCATCACGGGCCACGGCGTGCCCTGGATCGGGGGCACCATCCTCTGCCTAGTGAAGAGCAGCACTCTGGCGGGCCAGGAGGTGCTCATGAACCTGCTCCTGGGTGAGTCTGCCCTCCACCTGCCTGCCGCTGGGCCACGGCCCCTGGGGTAGCGCCAGCCCTGCCCCCAGTAACCAGGCCCTCGGAGAGCCCAGCCCCTGGACCAGCCTAAGGAGGTTAGGCAGGCAGGATGCCCCAGAAAGAGGAGGGGCCAAAGCTGGGAGGCAGGCCGGCGGCCCTGCACCTTGAGGAGCCAGCTCTCCTCCCAGGGGCACCACTGCCTAGAGGCCACTGGAGGAAGCGGGGCTGGCGGTGGTAGCTGCAAGGGGGCCCTGGAGCCGGGTGTCACTGTTCACCTCCCCCACAGCTTGGGTCCTTGCTCCCAGGCTGTTCCCAGGCTGTGATTTGGAGCTGGCCCCAACTGTTCCCCAAGTGTACTTGGTTCAGGGACATGGTGGGCTGCCCAGGATTCTCCAGCAGTGCTGGGGGCCCAGGGACAAGTCTGAGACACCGACCCACACCCCCCCACGTCCTCCTTCCCTGTGGGTCGCTGGAGTAGGGGCCTAGAGTAGGGGCAGCTGTGGGTTTGTGATGCAGTCCCCAGCTCCATGCCGGCAGCCACACAGGACCCACGTGGAAGGGAAGGCGCTCCCTCCACCCAGAGGTGACACCCGCCCCCACCCGGCCACCCTCAGGAGACCCCCACATCCACCCTTCCCTGTGTCCGTCACTCGGGAGGTGAGGCAGGGGTCTCAGGCAGAGTGACATGTAAACCGTGAACCAAGTACCTGGGTTCCAAAGGAGGTGCAGCTTGGGCCTCGGGGAGCTCTGGTCAAGAGAAGCATGGTGAGAGTACACATCTCCCTCGGGTCCCAGAGGCCGGCCTGGAACAGGAGGCTGGGGAGATGCAGAAGAGACAGTTGGGGTCCTTGGGGAGCAGGGGCTGTGTCTTCCACCACTGTTGGAAATCTCATCCTTGTTGCTAAATTATCAGCGTCAAATCACTTATTCTTTTATCCAGAGGAGAGTCCCAGGGGCCTGGGCCCTGTCATCCCCCTTTGTGGACTGCTATCTGAGGTTCCAGTGGTGTGTGGTGGTGGCCATGCCTGTGCGTCCAGTACTCGGGAGGCTGAGGCAGGAGGATCACCACGATTTCAAGGCCAGCCTGGGCTACCCTGTGAGTTCAAGGCCTGAGCTACACAGCAAGACCCTGTCTCAAAAACAGAAAAATGAGTCTGAGGTTCCTTATCCGGAAGGCAGCCTTAGAGAAGGGAGTTTTACCAGGTCCCCGATGCACAGGGTCTGCTCTTTATAGGCCAGGCCAGTGCCCTGGCAGGAGGGACAGGGCCAGGTGGTCACAGTCCTGGCTGAGAGCTTCCAGGGAAGAACCTGCCCCTGTTATCCAAAGTCTCCCCAGTGTCCCCAGCAGCCCAGGAAAGCCGAGGCCGTGTGGGGGCTGGGTCACCCAGGGTCGGAGGATGGGGTGGCCAAGCCCCGCACGCCCCCTCTGCTGGGCCCACCTTCCCCAAGAGGACCACGGTCACAGTGCTGGGGTTTGGTGTTTTCAGAGCTCTCTCTTCACCAGAAACCCAACAGATCGGGCCGCGGTTAGAGGAAGAAACAGAAGCACAAAGCGCGGCATGCCTGAGGCTGAGCAGCGAGCAGGGACCGGCCGAGTTAGAACAGGACACAGCTCTGGGTTCACACAGTGTCTTTCTACAGAGGGCTGTTGGGGAACCCAGACAGAGTGAGGAACGGGGAGCCAGCGGGCGCCTCATCAGGGGGTGAGCTCCCCGTTGTGGGAGGCATGCAAGGGAGTTGCCCTCACATGCCACTGAAATGGCTCCACTTTATTCTGGTTTTCTTATGCACATGAACATTTGCATTTAAGAAAGATTCCCCTGCCCCAGACATGTATGTTTTTGCAGCTCTCACGTCAGGATGGTTTGTGGCCCTGCCGGCCATCAGCGCCATCAGCATGGAAGTATTTGCTCCATGGCGTGGGAAAGCCCGCCATGCCACCTCTGTCAAAGGCCCTTGGTAGCTTCAAGAACGTTAATTACTGAATTACATTGTAGAGTTTTATTGCTTACACTTCATAATTATTAGTTTTTTGTTTTTTGGTTTTTTGAGACAAGGTCTCGCTCTGTAGCCCAGGTTGGCCTTGAAATCCTGGCGATCCTCTTGCCTCAGCCTCCTAAGTCCCGGATGATGGGCGTGCAGCACGCGGGCCTAAGCAGGAAGCTGTCACAGGCCATGACAGATGAGGGACTGCTGTGAAGCAGCCACTCACAGTGGGTGCCAGGGTGGGTCTGGGGGCCCAGCCCCTCACAGGAGCCGTTGTGGAGACAAACGCCACTTCCTGTCCTTCAGGGTTTGGTTTTTTGTTGTTGTTGTTTTGTGGTACCAGGGATCAAACTCCGGACCTTGTGTATGCCAGTCAGGTGCTTATGCCACTGAGCTTTTTTTTTTTCCCCCCCTTTGGCAGAACTGGGGATTGAATTATTATTATTATTATTATTTTTTTTCACCACTGAGCTTTCTTCCCGACTCCAAATTGTTGTTTTCTTTTCTGTCCTTTGGTCTGTGTGGGGGCCCGGGGCCCTCTCTGGTCAAACCTGGTCCCTGCAGGGACCTCACACCCTGTATGCCCCGTGTGCCCTGGAGCCCGGCATCCTTCTCCACCGGGGGCTGTGGTAGGACTCAAGGGGTCTGGGAAAGCACACTGATCACTGGCACCAGTCGTGGGCACTGCTGGAGCCCTGCCCAGCCACTCCGAGCCCAGGGCACCCAGCTGAAAAGCACCGTGCTTACTACAGGGCCCCAGGGACAGGTTGGGGACTCTGCGCCTCCCTGCCCCTCCTGCCCACGGTGCCCTGAGACCTCGTCCTCCCTCCCCAGCATGCTGCCCTGATGCCACGCCAAGCAGTGCGAGAGGCGCACAAAGGCTTGGCGTCTTCCAGGCCCTGGCTACTGCAGCCCTGAGACCGTGTCATCTGTCACTCGGGCTGTGGAGATGCTGAGACATGCTCAGTGCCCAGCACCTGTGAATGTCAGGGACTCCGTGTCACCCTGACCATGCTGGGCAGGAGCAACACTGCCACCCCTTCCTACCAGGTCCTGTCCGAGCTCTAGACGCCAGTGAAGAGACCCCCTTCCAGTCCCTCCAGGGGCAGAGGACAGGGACATCCTACTTCTCCGGGCATGGCCACCATCCCTTCTGGCCCTGGCCCCAGCGGGGAATGACCCCTGTCCTGCAGGCTGCTGTGCTCTGAACCCTTGGCTGATGTATCTTTATGGATATCTCCTGAATATGAAAAACATGCTTTTTAAAAAAGACAAAGTCTTGAACTTAGCGATCTTGCCTCAGCCTCCTGAGTCCTGGGCTGACGGGCGTGCGCCACCATGCCTAACAAGGAGAAATTTTTAGACAAACATGAGGTTGGGGGCCTGGGGAGATAGCTCAGTAGAATAAGCGCTTGACTGGCAAGCACAGGGTCCTGAGTTCAATCCCCAGTACTGAAAAAAAAAAAAAAAAAAGTGAGGTGGAAACCACAACTCTGGGCCACCATGCTAAACAGCAAGGGTGGCTTTGGGCCAAGGTGAGCAGACCGCAGCCAGCCACTGACCTTGAAGCCTTTTCGCTGAGGTCGAGGTGGCCCCGGCAGAGCTCAAGGCTGCGGCAGTGTTTTCTGTTACCATCTGGAGGAGGAGCCTGCCTTCCTCCACAACCTCCGGCTTTGTTTACTGCCCTTGTTAGGGCTGACATGGGTGACTCCATTTTGATTCTGACAATGTTACCAGTTCCCATCCCTTCCCACCTGCCCCAGGGCCTCGACTCCCCAGCTCCCCACTGCCCAGTGCATTGGTCCATCCCTTCAGCTGACCCATTCCCTCCTGGGCTGTGTGACCTGACCCTGGCTGAGACTGCTGCAGCCTGGCACCAGCACAGAGCCCTTGCCCCAGGCAGCCTGATGCCAAGAAGCTGGGTTCGTCCCTCCTCATCCCCAGCTCTGCTGCCTGCGCCCCAGGACTGTGTCCTTTGCAGAGTTGCTTCGTTTGTTTCCATTTTCTACTGGAGATTGGACCCAAGGCCTTCATACTGAGCTACGTCCCAGCCCTTTTTGTAAAAAGTTGAGGAGGGCTTGGCTAAGTTGCTGAACTACCCAGGCTGGGCTCAAACTTACACTCCTCCTGCCTCTGCCTCCCAGAGTGCTGGGACTACAGGCGTGCGCCACCGCATCGAGGTTTACTGGTGTTTTAAATATGCCTCTGTGTTGGTAAATCGCTTGGAGCTCGAAGGGGCCCATGCAGTGCAGCATGTCTGAGCTGTTGCTTTTGCAGGCTTCACCACCGCCCACCCGTGGAACTGTCTCACTTTGCAAAACTGAAACGTGTCCCTCTGGGTGACAGCCCCCCTCCACCCAGCCCCAGAAGCCACATTCTACTTTGTCTCGATGACTACAACTGCCCCAAGTCCCTCTAGTACATATAGACATACGGTATTTGTCCTTTTATAAAAAATAACTTTTGTGGGGCTGGTGAGATGGCTCAGTGGTCTAAAGCACCTATTTGAAACAAGCTTGGCAAAGCACAGGGACCGCCGCTCGCCCCAGCACCACATGCCAGCCAGCCCCGCCCCCTGGTGGGCTGAGCTGGCCACACACACACAATAAATAAATGTAATAAATAAAAATAAATAAATAAATAAATAAAAATAACTTTTGTGTGGCTGGGAGATGGCTCAGTGGAATAAGCGCTTCCCTGGCAAGCGCAAGGGCCTGAGTTCAATCCCCGGCTCCGCAAAAACAAAAAAAGAACAACTTCTGAAACGGGTCGTGGTGGGTCACGCTTGTCATCGCAGCTCTTGCACTTGGAAGGCTGAGGCTTGAGGATCGCCTCTGGGTTAAAAGCTGTTCTGGGCTACTTAGCAAGACTGTCTCCAAAAGAAAAAGAGAGAAAGAGATCCTTTCAAAAATGTGCCCCCATGCCGCCCGTGAGTAGTAAAGACAATTTTTAGGGCAGAATTACAAAAGGAAGCTGCAATCCCCTTTCCTTGCGGGGCGGGAAGCGCGCTGGCCCGAGGGCGCGCATGCGCCGTCTGGACCCGCCCGGGCAGCCCAGTAGCTGTAAATCCTGCCGCGTCCCGAGAGGATGCCAGCGCTCTACTGTCTGGACGCGACCGCGGAGTGTCGCGCCGTCTCCCTGGGAAGGGCACCAGGTCGTGCGGCATTCTTGGCGCTGGCACTGGCACTGCGGGGACATCCCTGCTTCCCCTAGAGGGGGTGGGAGGAAGTGGGGACCCGTGTCGCCTCCGGCCTCCGGAGTGGAGGGTGTGCGGGCAGCGGCTCCAGGACCCTCCTGCCAGCCCCAGCTCCCGCCTCCGGCCACCCTGGGTCCCCAGGAAGCCCCACTGGCTTCCAAGCTCTGGCCTCCAGCTCCTGCCTGCTCCCTGCCCAGCGCATCCCCCAGGGACAGCAGCCCCACCCCAGGAGGGTCCCTGCGCTTGAGTGCAAGGCCACCTGCAGGCAAGGGGTGTCTGGTTTCTACTCAAATCATCCAACAGCAGGCACCTGCTGCCAGGCAGACACAGGGGACCTTCTGCTGGGTCCAGAGTCCCCAGCCCAGCACGCTGCTGGCCACAACATGGCAAGGCCAGAAGCACCACCAGGCCTGCAATGACTGCTGTCTCGGGCATGGCCACGGGGCCTCTCTCAGCTGAGGGAGCCTGGCACATGCTGATGTCCCCAGGAGCTGCCTCTGAAGTCTCGGAGCAGAAGACAAGCAGCCAACTCTGCAGGCCTGCCACGTGTCCTGGGCTTTGTCCCCAGGGGCTGTGCTTTCTGAATGTGGAAGGTTTGGGTCTGAGCCAGATCTGTCACCCCAGCACTCAGGAGGCTGAGGCAGGAGGGTCCTTCCAGAGTGTGGGGATTACAGGCCTGTGCCACACACCCTGCTCCCGTCTGCGTTATCTGCCCTATAGTCATAATGCCTTGCCTTACAGACAGGCTGGGCCTTGGGGGGACGTTGAACTGAGAGTTGGTCATCTGTGGGCTTTGGACCTGATCCCATCTAGGAAAATCAGGTGACAGTCTCACAGCTGTCACCCACACCGTGGGGTCATCTGTGCTGCCATGATTTTATGGGTAACCAAGTCACCATGGCTACCCAGAGAGCTACCTTGTGACCTGGCAATTCCGCTGCTAAGGAAACACCCCGAAGGACAGAAGGCAGAGATCCTATGCCCCAGTGTCCATGGCTGCAGCACTATTAACAGTGGGCCCTGGGCTGGCCAAGTAGCTTGGCAGATTAGAGCTCCTGCAAACGGGTGCAGGGGCCGGCCCCGCCCCCAGAGCATGCTGAGAGGGCAATTGAGACTGGGTGTGGTGGCCTGCGTAATCCCAGCACTTGGGATGCTGTAAACAGGAGAAGCACTATGAGTCTGATCTCGTAGTGAGACCTTGAACACCCTGTAGACCCTTCCCTAAAATACAGAAAAAGAAAACAAAACAAACAAACAAACAAAAAACAGTGGGCCCACTGTCCGTCTATGGATGGCATGCTGTAGAATATTATTCAGTCAGGAAAAGGGAATGGTCCTGAGCCATCTGAGACATGGGTGAACCTGGAAACTTTATGCTGAGGTCAGGAAGCCGAACCCAAAAGGCCATTTACTATCTAATGTAACTCCTATGAAATGTGCAGAAAAGGCAAATCTCTAGAGGCAGGAAGCAGGCTGGTGGCTGACAGGGCTGAGACAGGGTTTCCCAGGGGGATGGTGGGTGTCACAGTGTTCAGCGTCAGGGTGGGATCAGGGTGGCAGTGGCCCCGGAGCCTGGCAGGCATGACAGCCCTGTCCTCGGTCTCCACCCGCAGCCCTGCTCCTGGATATCATGACGGTGGCAGGCGTACAGAAACTCATCAAGCGCCGTGGGCCCTACGAGACGAGCCCGAGCCTGCTGGACTACGTCACCATGGACCTGTATGCCTTCCCTGCCGGCCACGCCAGCCGCGCGGCCATGGTGTCCAAGTTCTTCCTCAGCCACCTGGTGCTGGCGGTGCCGCTGCGTGTCCTGCTGGTGCTCTGGGCCTTCTGCGTGGGGCTGTCGCGGGTGATGATCGGCCGCCACCACATCACTGACGTCCTCTCGGGCTTCATCATCGGCTACTTTCAGTTCCGCCTGGTGGAGCTGGTGTGGATGTCCTCCAACACCTGCCAGATGCTCATCTCCGCCTGGTGAGGGCCCCAGCCCGCCCTGGGGCCAGCGGTGGCAGCAGCAGGCTCGGGGGCACCGGGGATGGCACCTGGGGGCTCAACTTCTATAGCATGGCTGGAGGCCAGTGACCCAGGCGGCCCCAGCGACTGGCATGGCTGGCAGTACCCAGCCCCTGCCCCACTGCTTGGACTCCAAGTCGCCTCTGGAGGTGCCTGAGGCCCAGCTTGGCTTGGCTTTAGCTTGGGGACAACCAGTGAGACCAAGATGGCAGCAGGAGGGGCTGGATTTTGTCCCACTGTGATGACTGTTGAGATCCTGGCCACACCCAACTCGATGCCTGGCAGGCCACCGTTACCAAGGATGGCCCTTAAGGGCTTAGCACAGCAGCGTTTCCCACAGGTGCCCATGATACCGCCTGGGCACGGCCGCAGACTGCCCAGCGCCAGAACTGTAGCCCCGAGCTTCCCGAACGTATCCGAGCACAGGAGCCTTCCCTCGGGGAACCGCTGTCCCCAGGCCCAGGGCCCCAACTTTGCGTGACCGATGGGTCAGCTGTATGCATACGCGCACCTCATGCGAAAATACAGAGGCAGCCAGGCCACGTGTGCGTGTGTTTGTAGCTCATACGGTGAGTGGCCGAGGTGCCCAGCCCCACACAGCGCCAGGTGACAGACACAGGCTGACCTTCTCCCTGAGGCCCTTCCAGCCTCAGGCCAGTGCTGCTCTGTCCCCAGGATGGGCACTGACTCAGAGGAGGGCCAAAGCCCCTGATCCCAGCCTCTAGCCCTTGCTCCAGGCATACCAGGTTCTAGTCCCAGGAAGTGGCCCAGGGGCCAGGCAGCTGGGTGTCGCCAATAGCCCATGATGACCCTGCCATTGGCGATGAATGAGCCCGTCCCATAGGCAGGAATGCCAGCCAGCCAGGAGCTGCCATGGGGCAGCCGTCCGCCCCTCCCGGTGTACCTGGCCAAGTCATGTCCCACTTGCCTGGCTCGGCTGTTCCCTGTCAGCGCTTGTGTCCGGGGCACCCTCTCTCCACACGGTCATGATCCTGCATCCTCAGCTTCCCTACAGCCTGCCGTACCCTGCAGAGCTGGATGCCACTTTCTGTGCCCATCCTTGCCCAGAGGGAGCTCCATGGAAACACCCAGCATCCGCCCTTTATTGCTGGCTGCCTCCACAGCCTGCAGGTCCCTCCAGCAGTTCCCATGGGTGCTCTCGGGGCAGGCGTCTTCACGCCCCACTCTTGGAATCTGTCAGCCAGGGTTGAGCTGGGGCAGGTTGTTGTTGTTGTTTTTTCTTTTGGCACTTCTGGAGAATGAATTTGTCCTTTACCCTGAGGTGCATCCCTAGCTCTTCTTTTTTTTTTCCTTTTTTTTTTTTTAAATTTTTTTTTTTTTTTATTATTACAATACATTTATTTATTGTGTGTGTGTGTGGCCAGCTCAGCCCACCAGGGGGCGGGTCTGGCTGGCATGTGGTGCTGGGGATCGAACCGCGGTCCCTGTGCTTTGCCAAGCTTGTTTCAAGTAGGTGCTTTAGACCACTGAGCCATCTCTCCAGCCCCCCCTAGCTCTTCTTTATTTAGCAATAAGGTCTCAGAATAAGTTGGCCAGGCTGAACTCCAATGTGGTATCCTCCTGCCTCAGCCTCCTACAGTGCTGGAATCTCAGGCTTGTGCCATCAGCCCCCAGCTTACTATGCTGGGGACAGACAGGCTTCTGCCCCCAGGGCCCACATTCCTAGCAGGGCCATGGGTCCCCAGGATTCTGCCTTTGCAGGGGGTAGGGGACGGGTGTCTTTAGGATTTGGGGGGCCCTGAAAGATAGGGTCTAGAGGCCACGCCTGTGGGAGAGGCCAAGTGGCTGCTGGCTCATGTCTGATGGCCCCTCCCAGGCCCCCGCTTTGATCCCTCAGAGGTCCCCAGTGGTTGTCTGTGACCCAGGGCTGCTGTCTGTGTAGTCTGTGCGCCTTGTTGGTCACCGGGTCCACACGCTACTGCCCCTGCATGGAGCAGGTGCTGGGCACGGTGGCAGCAAGGCCTGCTCTGCCCTGGCTCGACCGATCCAAACCCATAGAGATGGCAACATTTGTGTTTAAGTATGACACTTTACCTGGGCATCATGGTGCATGAAGTAATGCCAGCCCAGGTGAGGCTGAGGCAGGAGGACCACCTTGAGGTCCAAGCTAGTCTGGGGTAGTAATGAGACCGTGTTGGGGGAAAACACACACACACACACACACACACACACACACACACACACCCCTGGCTGGGCACAGGGCAGTGGGGAGCTCTGTCCTCACCCCCAGAGTCTGGCATTTCCGGGAAACACTTGAAAGGATCTCTGAGGAGACATACCTCGGGAGGACAGTGCCACAGCCGCCACCGAGGAATCCAAGAGCTCTGGTTCTCCCTGAAACTTGCTCCGGTCTCCATAGCAACTGTGAGGCTTTAGAGATCCTGGCTCCTGGTCACCGCACCTCCCCAGAATCCCCAGTCCCAGGAGAAGGAAGGCCCTGGGCCGGGTGAGGAGCAGGGCGGGGTGGCAGACTCCCTCCATCACTGGAAAGCGGGCTGCAGAGAGGAGGAGCAGAGGTAACAGTGCGTCTCGGAGCCCCACGCTGAGCTACTCTCCCAGCCCTTGTGTCACTTTTTATTTGGATGCAGTTCTCTGAAGTCACTAAACTGCCCAGGCCAGCCTTGAACTTGAGATCCCCTGCTCCAGCCTCCTGGAGCCAGAGTTTACCGGAGTGTGCTGCTAGCCCTGCTCCACTTTCACTGAGGAGGAGGGGCCGAGCTAGGACACTGAGGCCTGGAGCCAGGAAGGCTGGTCTTGGGAAAGGACTTCTGGCCCTGGGGACACCTGCACCGGGATGCAGACTGCCATAAGCTCTGGCTCTTGCAATCTGTGACAGCTGGGCCAGAAACAGATGGTGTCCGCAGGGCTGAGGTCCCTGTGGAACCTGCTCCAGCCTGGTGACCTCAGGCTGGGGCAGGGGGAGGCACCTGAGACCCCAGGGCTGCTCAGTGCCTCTGGATGAGCCCATGTTTGGGGACAGCATTTTTGAAGAGGTGGCCATATTGAAATGCAGCCATTTGTGTGGTTCCAGCCTCAAACCGGCTGATGTCCTTAAGGCAGGTCCTCAGGCTTAAAAGCCAGGCAGGTAGCGCACACCTGTGATCCCAGAACTCTGGAGGCTGAGGCAGCAAGAGCTTGAATTTGAGGACAACCTGGACTATGCAGGGAGTTCAAGGCCAGACTGCCCTGCAGAGAAAGACCCTGTCTCAAAGTAATGACATTTATTTTTTAAAGCAGAAGACGGGCTGGGGAGATAGCTCAGTGGCCTAAGCGCCTGCCTGGCAAGCTCAGTCCCCAGTACCACATGCTGTGCTGGCCCTGGGCCCCAGGAACTGAGCCAGCTACTGAAACTGGGCATGGTGGCACACGCCTGTAATCCCAACACTGGGAAGGCTGAGGCAGGAGGATCACTACAAGTCTGAGCTATGTAGCAAGACCCTGGACCCAATAAATAAATAAAAGATTTTAAAAATATAGAAGATCTGCCATGCCGGCCCCACCCCCGGGAGTACCCTGAGACGAGATTGAGACTGGGCGTGGTGGTGTGCACCTGTAATCCCAGCTCTTGGGAGGCTGTAAACAGGAGAACTATTAAAAGTCTGATCTAGTAGTGAGACCCTGAACACCATGTAGACCCTTCCCTAAAATACAGAAAAAAAAATTTTTTTTTAAAAAAAAGGGACATAAAGACACAAACATACACAGAGAGATGCTTGCTATGTCTGGGGAGAGTTCAGTGGCTCTATCAGGTCACCTGGTGTCCCTGTCACCTGGGCAGGCCGGGCAGGAGCAGAGCTCAGCATAGGAGCTCACTATGCAGGTCTCTGGGCAACAGTCGTGGCCCCTGGAGCTCCCTCTCAGGAAAGCCATTCCCAGGCCAAGGCCACCGCTGCTATTCAAAGTTACGGTCCCCAGCCCTTCCCTGCATGGGGAAAATCCGGAGGCTCAGGAGCAGGGAAAGCCGGGGGCTCCCAGATCTGCTGCCATCTGGTCCAGGAGGCGAAGGAACATCTGGCAGCCACCTTGGCCGTGGCCTTACATAACCCACGTGTGTGCCCACGTGCCACGACCCCACCCAGCGGGTTCAGTCACCACAGGCAGGGAAGGCTGCTGGGACAGGATAAGTTGACAAGAGAGCCTGGGCCGGGGAGATAGCTCAGTGACATGGCACCTGCCTGGCAAGCTCAGGGTCCTGAGTTCAATTTCCAGGACAAGAAAGAAAGGAAGGAAGGAAGGAAGGAAGGAAGGAAGGAAGGAAGGAAGGAAGGAAGGAAAAGAAAGAAAGAAGCCAAGCAAGCAAGTCAGCCAGCCAGCCTGCAGGAGCCCTGTGGGCCAGCACGCGCCTGCGCACACAGCTATGGGCACACGCAGAGCTGCCCACACCTGCCCTTCCATGTGCTTTCTTGGCATGTGTGGAGCTGCAGACACGTGTGCGCACTCACATCTGAATTCGTTCATTGTGTGTGCACAATGGTATCAAGCTGGACACAAGTCTACACCCGCTCCCTGCACAGGAAAGCCTGTAGCATGTCCTGGAGCACCCACACCCACCGGAGCACCTGCGCCTGTGCTCGCTGGAGCACCCACACCCACGTGCATGTGTGCAGACTCAGGGCCTGCAGGCACTGCACAGCTGTGTCCAGGTGTGCTCTTCCATTCGCGTGTGCACTCATGTTTGCACATTCTCTTGCACACGCATGTTTCCGTGCATCCTTGCATCCATACCAGATGTAGCAAATGCAGTCAGTAACACCTCGGCTCACGAGCACTTCTGTTTCCAAGCAGTTGTTTACAAACAAGCAGTCATCAAAATGTAGCTTACTTTCTCGAGCTCCGCATCGGCTAATGAACTCAAACACAGCCATCTTCCCTCCAATTGGGGAAGGAATTAAGGTCAAAAAACAAGGAATGATTAGCGAGCAGAAGGCAGTGTCGGGACCACGCACTGGGAAACTGCACCAAAGTTCACGCCAGCAGCCCGTCTGGTATGTTGTCACCCTGACACGTGTAGGGAATGATCAGAATACACCGGGGCCAGGCGTGGTGGCCATGCTGTAATCCCAGCACTCGGGAGGCTGAGACAGGAGAATCACTCTGTGAGTTCAAAACCAACCTGGGCTACAAAGTGAGCTCAAGGACAGCCTGAGCTGCATGGTGAGACCCTGTCTACACACACACACACACACACACACACACACACACACACACACGAGTGAATATTTAAACTAAGAATGCGACATGAATCCCCCTGCAATCCTCCCCTCCGCCTCAGACCCACTGACCCCACTGTCCTTGCCACTTTCTGCAGCGGCTCTGGAGCACTCTTTCCTGGGTGTCTGTAGGGAGTGTGGTCTGCTGCGGGGCACCGTCCAGGAGGGCAGGCTCAGCAACGTGTTGTGCTGTGTCCTCCTCTACCTTAGTCACCAGCCCAGGCACCCTGCGGCTTCTGGTTCTTCCCCAAGGTCAAAGGGATCCTGAAAGGGAATTCATTCTTTCTTTCTTTCTTTCTTTCTTTCTTTCTTT